TTATGTCCATTTACTTAGTTTCATTCACATGTTTGTTAATAACATTGACTGCTACATATCTTTTTAAGGTAACAATTAACATCGTTTCCATGATTGTGTGGTTCTCATATTGTAAAATTTTTTAGATGAACTGATGATGCTTTCAAAACTCGAAAGCGAAACGTCTTCAAAATAGATAAAGTAGCCTATCAACTTTGTCTTTTATTTCTCCACCTAGAGACCGATATAAGAACCCACCACTCGTCTGAGTGATCCTTATATATATTGGATTGACGGTCGTACTCCTTTTTCCGATGCTTTCTGTTTCAGAGGGGTTATATGCTACCACCAGACGCATTCATGGAGACCTAGCAGTGAAGAAGCTGAAGAGATAAACAAGCCTTACAGAAAAGTTAGCAACAGCCGAAGCCAGAAGAACCTTCCTTCTTGAGTGTAGGAGAACTAAGAAAATCCCACGTTTCATTGTTGACACCACTTCCAACATCCTGACATCGACATCTAGTTCCACAGATAACGGACTGTACCGTAGAAGCCAAGCTTTGAATAGACAGGTGAGGGTGCGATTGCTTAATTTCCATATTTCTAAGGTTCACACAGATATTAAATCTTTAACTTTTCAAATAAATAATGTTACTTCGTTTCTGGATAGTCACCTACCTGACAATTTGTTGGACACTTTTGAGGCTTCTCTACATAAAAAATTTAATTACATTTATAATAAATCCATGATAAAACTTAAAAATAAACTTAATAACTTAGACACACCTGATTTCAAGAAAATCCCATTTAATCCTAAGTGGATTAAGAATTTATCTAATATTGAGGTTCCTCCTGACATACTGAAGCTGTTATCTTTGGGTCCTAAATTTGGCCTTCAACCTTCGTTCAAGGACTACTCAATTAGTAGAATCTTAGCAGATGTTGAGAATATTTTGTCTCATGCGGACAATTCCGACCTTTTATCTCTTAGGTCTTCTTCCAACAACATCTTGTTGAATTTCACTAAACGCCCTAGGCAACCCTTATCAGAGTTAGATAAGATTTACAGGGAGACGGTATCGTTTTTAAAAACCCACCCTAATCTTCTCGTTCTTACGAGTGACAAAGGTAATGCTACTGTCCTTATGGACAAAGATCAATATTTCAGTTTGAGTAAATCACTGTTAGATGATGATAGATACTATCAACCACTTTCTTCTAATCCTTGTTCTAAATTCACAAATAAAATAAATAAATTCATAACACATTTAAAAAATATTAAGATCATAGATCAACCTTTAGCTAAATCTTTACATAATTATGATGGATATGCTCCAAGATTCTATTGTTTACCAAAAATACATAAACCTACGTTGAGCATGAGACCTATTGTGTCATCTATTAATTCACCTAATATAAAAATAGCTAAATTTCTAACAGACATCTTATCTAAATCATATAATTACAACAATGACTTTAATATTGTTGATTCTTTCAACTTTAGTGAATTTATTAACAATTTTCAACTACCTCAAGGTTACATTTTAGTAAGTTTTGATGTGGTATCTCTTTTCACTAACTTACCTCTGTCCAGTGTAATCACTTCCTTAAAAAACCATTGGAATTCTATTAAACCTAACTGCCCGGTGTCTTGGGATATATTTTCAGAACTGTTGCAACTTGTGTTTGACACTAATTTTTTGGTCTTTGATGACAAATTTTACCTTCAAACATTTGGTACACCTATGGGTTCCTCAATCTCTCCCATCCTAGTTAACTTCGTATTGGATGATTTGGTTTCTGACCGTTTAGGTCTTTTGGATTTTCAAATCCCTTTTATTAAAAGGTATGTGGATGATTTATTATTAGCCCTACCACCTGACAAGGTTCAGGGTACCCTATCCCACTTTAATGAGTTTGATCCTCATTTACAGTTCACTGTTGAACTTGAGGACACTACCACCAATAGTATACCCTTCCTTGACATGCGTGTCATCAGAATGGGAGACAACACCCTAACCACAAGTTGGTATAGAAAATCAATGGCCTCTAATAGGTTCCTTAACTACCATTCCTGTCATCCCATGAAATACAAACTAAACCTTATAAAAGCTTTGAGCTACAGATTAAATAAATTGACACATCCAATTAATCGAAGGGAATCCTTTAAGTTATTGAGAAATATTCTAATAGAGAATTCATATCCTTCCTCTATCATCAATAAATCCTTTATTCACATAGTTATGGATCCTCAATTTATGACATACCCGATGGTGACCAACTTAGAAACATCTCTAATAATTTAATAAATAGCACTTTTCTGCATAATACTGTTCTTGAGAATATTATCACACATTATTCTTCTTTACCTTATTTCCCTCAAGTTACTGAGAAGCTTATTAAATTGTATAAACAAAATAATATACCTGTTAAAATTGCTGTTAAGAATGCCAAAACTGTTAGAAATTTGTTCTCTAAAACTAAAACACCCTTGTCCACTTTGGAACAAGTGAACACAATTTATAAAATTCCATGCGCTAATTGCGATTTATGTTACATTGGTCAATCTGGTAGATCATTAAAAGGTCGTCTCACTTCACATCGTAGCGACATTAATTTATCGAAACACACTTGTGCCCTAGCACAACATGCGATAAATACAAAACATGAAGTGGATTTCAATGAAGTTAAGATCCTTGCCACTGAACGCAATCTAGCTAAAAGACAGTTTTTGGAAATGGGTTCAATATTAAAACACCCTAATGCTTTGAATAAGAGAACTGACATAAGTAACTTGAGCCAAATATATCATGCTTTAATTTTGCAGAATTAGGCTACTTGATCTTTTCACTACATTAATGTCATATTAGGTGTACTATTTGAACCTTTTTCCATTTTTCATAAAATAATTTATATACATAAATAGAAATAAAATAAATAAATATATCAATAAAATAACTTAATAGTCTTTACTTAATTTTAATATTATATATGCAACCTACATTGCATTTCCATACACTAATTACTTTAATTAGTGCTACCAATTTTATACTAAAATAATACAAATATTGTAATTGATTCATAGAATCCTTTGCAAATCACAGTTCCAAGTATATTGAACCTTAGGCTGTTTGGAAATTAACGAATCGTTAACCACCTGTGGCTGTTTAACTAGCCATAATGATTAACGTTATTACATACTTATGAGGTTGAATGAAAATCTCCTGTTTGTAAATTTGGACTGATTAGTGAGGGGAGTTGCTATTACACTACCAACTTTTTTCACTGTGTTGTCCTTTGCAACCGGGTAGTCATCCAAACTCATTTAAACTTAAATTAACCGCCCAAAATTTGGGTTGGTATCTACACCTTGTTGATCTGTCGAAAGTATTTTTGACCTCAAGGTTGGCTGTCTTTTCGCGGTTTAGTTCGTTCCTGTTTCATTAAACGCCATTTTCCCGGCGACACTCATAGGGCTTTGATCGGTAACTTCATTTATACTACTTTTTAAAATTTTATTAATATCACTTACAATGCTACCTAAAGTTAAAATCAAAGCTTAATATCCATTAAATAGTTGGAAGTTATCTATGATTTTCTTGGTTCTTACTCACTTATTAACATTAAATAACATTGAATTTACTTTAGACCACATGGTCATTTGCTGTGCTAATTTTTTATATGTTCATATATGTTGTTAGTTACTTAACTGTTTATACAAGATCAGCGTATTATGTCCATTTACTTAGTTTCATTCACATGTTTGTTAATAACATTGACTGCTACATATCTTTTTAAGGTAACAATTAACATCGTTTCCATGATTGTGTGGTTCTCATATTGTAAAATTTTTTAGATGAACTGATGATGCTTTCAAAACTCGAAAGCGAAACGTCTTCAACATAGATAAAGTAGCCTATCAACTTTGTCTTTTATTTCTCCACCTAGAGACCGATATAAGAACCCACCACTCGTCTGAGTGATCCTTATATATATATATATATATATATATATATATATATATATATATATATATATATATATATATATATATATATATATTTCCGCACAAATAATCTGCTTTCATAAATTAGTTTCTTGTTTTAAAAAGTTTTCATTCTCATTTCTGATTTCAATGTTATGATTAGCTTCCTTATTTTTCAGGTCACCAGCTTATTTATGGCATGCGTGGTGAGAAACTTCTCAACGTTTAATGGAATGTTACTTTATTTATTATCTTTCTAATAATAGGATTACACGAAGCTTTCATTTTTCTTTCGAGTTCCAACTTTTTTTAATTTGATTAAAATCTATAACAAGGATATCAACTCAGCGGTTTTATGTAATTCTTAAATATATATTTTTTTGTTTATTTGAATCATATCTAGGTTCCTCACGTCTTTATTAAAATTCCACATTTAATTAAAATTATAAATAAATATCCAATAAAATTACTTTATTCAATTTTAAAAATATTTAAAATTTAGATTTAAAATTTTAATTTTTCGAAATTATAATTTCGAAACTATCTGGGTAAAAGTTTAGACCTGGTAAAATTTTATGAGTTCTTTATTATTTATTTTATCGAATAACAGATTAAAATATATTAAAATTTTAAATACTATTCTAGCATGTCTATCAGCCTTCCGGCTATCATCGGAACCTAGTCGATAAGAACCTGTTTTTGTTTAGGGTTTCTTCGTAAATTAAATATTGTATGTATTTAATTCTTCGCCTTTGGACGCTATATATTATTAATTGAAACATTGTTTTTATTTTTATAATTTTAACTTGTAAGGGGGAGAAAGTTTAAAAGTTGACAATCACTAATTTATAAGTAAGTGTATGTTCTATTCACTCCCATAAAATCACCACGAACCATTTAGACAAGCGTGTACTTTAGGAAAGCCATTATCGTTCTAACAGACATTTCTTCGTATACTAGAGCTTTAATTGCCTTACATTAGTTTTTTGTTACTAATTTATTTTTCGACGTTGTTTAATAATATTTTTCGTTGTAGGGAAACAAAAAACGTAATACTAACAAACCTAACAAAGGGCAAAAACCGCAGGGCGTCGCTTTAACTGTCAAAACTGATGGAGGGTATGTACACTTTTTGCAGTAGATTAAAAAAAAATAGTAGTGCACTTCTAGTAGCAATAGCAATGTACATGATTGGTATATTAGTTTCATTAACCTTATCTGTTGTCAAGATAATTATAGACCCATCATTTTTTAAAGATCTTCCACCTTTTAGCTCCTCTTTGCCTATGCCTTGTTTAATTTTATTTACGTCTAAACTATTGGTGTACATTTTCGATTTGACTTGTAAAGAACTATTCATATACACCAGCATACAGCGTTTTCATCACGTAATGTGACAGATACAACACAGGCAGACGTTTTCACACCAAATTACAACTCATTAGGTGGGAAAACTAGAAATTTAAATACAATCGTATATACCTGCTAAGGGCATATTTAAAAACGTTTCCGTTGAATAAATAGTTATGGTACCAATTTTACACGAATAAGGAAAGACATTTTTTTGGAATTAAAACAAAAAAAGGAAAGCGTTTCAATGAATTTAAAAAGAAAAAAAGATGAATTATACGCGCTAGTAAGAGTTAATAGACGATAAAGACAAATTTTTTTCAAATATTTCAGAAATTACTCAAATTATATAGAACTGAATGTCCTGGAACTAATTCAGTTAATTTTCTGTTGTTCATAATTTAATGGAAATTTCATAATAAAAAATATTAACTGATGCCACGGACATGCGCGAACACAGATCAAATATTCGTTTCGGCAATTCTGGTCATTTTTTTTGCTATTTAGAGAGTAATTTACCTTCCTATGTACATTCTGATTATTGTACTTTAACTGTATAATCATATAAGCCGAATGACAACAAATAGAGTAGAACGACAACTTACTGGAAGCACATTGAAAAACAGACAGAGTCATGTCTATATAAAAAGAAGAAGAACTGTAGAAACTCAATGTCTTCGCATCTTGCCATTGCTGCTTTTTCTGTCTATTGTTATATTGCTATTCTCATTTTCCTTTTAATTGTTATATGGATCTCATCACACTGTTTGATCTTTTGTTCTTCGTTCGATTCGTCTCTAATCACAGTCACTTGCTTAATTAACGTGGCTATGACCCTCATTTTCGTATTAAGGTCTTTCAGCATATGTATATCGTATGGTTGTGGTTTCCTTTTCTGTTAGCTTTTGAGTTTGACTCAAAATACTCCAACCAGTGGAACGTGTTCCGTCTCCAAGCCTGCTCTCGGATAAGTATTTGACACACGTGAAGCTGTTTCGGAACCTTCTATTTACTAAAATGTAATCTATGTGATTTCTAATGATTCTAACGGGTCTGTCTTAAAGGGATTTCCATGTATGCAGCTTTCGAGGTGGTAATTGTAGCAATATGTTGGTGACAATTAATTCTGTCGTTTCTAACTTCAAGCAGCGTCTCATTTTCAGCTCCAAACTTGGCATTAACCTTTCTCATAGTGAAGAGAACTTCCTGTTTTATAACTTTCTATATGACTTTGTTGGTTTTCTGATAAAACTCAATTGCTTCTTATTTGTCGGCAGTGGGAGCATAAACTTGATGATGATGATGTTATAATATTGACGAAGTGAGCTTGTACTTGTAGTAACATCAGTCTCTGATATTGGTGTAAAGTTAGTAACGCATTTGACAACTTTTGATTACTTTTTCTCGAATAGTAGACGGGTACTGGTTATTCCAGGGTACTCCAGGATCTGGCTATTTTATTTCTGCTCTTCTAGTAAGCGGGTACTGGTTAAACAACATCAGATATACTGATAGAAAATAGTTTTTGCGTACAACCTAGATGACCTACAAGTCCTACCAGAAATTGAAACGTCAGTAAACTTATTTTAACCTTCAATAGTGGCCTAGTCCCAATAAAATAGTAATTACTTTAAAATGCCACAAGAAAATATCTTCAGAACTAGTTTATGGTGTTGAATCGTGGACCTTGAACGATGATATATGTAGAAGATGAAAAGCATTTGAGATCTGGTTATATCGGAGAATACTTAAGATCTTATCCACTGAATGATTCACAAATGATGTGGTCCTTAGAAGGATGAAGAAGAACTGGGAGGCACTGATCACCAGCAAATCTCGAAAGCTGCAGTACTTAGGACACATTATGCGAAATGAATCCAGGTATGCTCTTCTAAAGACCACCGTGCAAGGAAAAATATTTGGAAAGCTATCTTCAGAAAGAAGAACATCCTGGTTAAAGAACCTGGTTCAGCACAATATCTGTGCAGCTTTTCCGCGCTGCTTCAAACAATATAGATATTTCCATGATGATGATCAATGTTCGTCTCAGATAGCCACAGTAAGAAGATGATAGATAGATAGTTTATTAGTAATAGTAATACAAACTTAATTTTACAAGTCAAATATATAATATACCGAAAATAAATAATATACCCATATTTTATTTTACAGAGACGTGCCAGTAACTGATGTCGTTATCGACGAAGGTGGCAATACCTGTGCCGAAGAAAAAAAGAAAAATAACACCAACACTTGTGCCGGAGAGAAAAAGAAAAACAGCACCAACACGAATGATCATAAAGGACAGGATGATGTACCATGTAAAGCTGAAGCTGTTGCCACTGCATCCAATTAAAATTCCATCTTTCTCTTCCCCTTTTATTTTGCTTTCCTAGTGCACTATAAAATGCAAGTGTAATTACATTTTTAGTTTTTAAGTGTAGTTATAAATAAACTTTTCCTGAATTAACGATCGTCGGGATAAACTATCTACATAAGTGAACTTTAAAGGACAGTGTCGCGTTTATATTCGCATTAGTTCGACAACGATATTCTATAGAGCAGCGTTGAAGTCGTTTAGTCGATCTAGTTGGGAACAAAAAAGTAACTCAATATTGTGTTGTTCGGAAGCTATATATCTGTGACTTTTGAATTTGTTACTTTTCTTGGTAAAAAAGACCGCTTAGCAACATATAGAAATACCATTTACTAATGAACTACTAAATATTTTCTGAGTAAAAGCTATTTCAAACGGGAAAATTTTTGTATTGGAAGTTAGGAAATAGATTACGGCTACGGATCTAATTTAAATACTAATCTAAATACTTTAAATTTCAGTTTTAATATTTATTCTTAATTTGTTCAAATGCCCTCTCCTTTTAGCATTTTTGATGACACTGCTCTAAACTGGTTAACAGAACTTCTACTTCGACTCCTTCCGTATATTCTCCATTACATTATTATTTGAATCAAACTAAAAAAAACTCTACAATACCTCGATATTTGTGCCGGTTCATCCAGTTTATTCTTAGTATTAGTCTTAGTCCATAGTTTAAAAACTTCTCAATATTCCTATTAATAATTATTATTCCTTTTCTTTTGTTTTCCATATATTCTAAAGCCTTCTTGACATTGTTGTGCTTTTATTATCGTCATAAACTATTTTTTATTTTGATAAATAATCCCTTATCTTCGCTGACTTTTATCACTCTTTTAACCATAGTTCCTCCAGTCATTTGGCGATTAAGATGTTTCATTTGTAATCTTATATTGATGATATGTCGACCATTTAGTTATATACTGATCATTCACCATCATCTTTGGCTCGACAATCCATTGTGGATCCTCGCCTGCTCTAAGATTCATCGTCATTCTGTTCGGTTTATGGCGACCTGTAATATTATAATTTTAATATTCCTAAATCCATCTAAACTCCATCTGACCATCTAATTTCAGTCCGCCTCGTATTTCTTCTCCCTACAGGTATTCCTATGGTTAGCTTTCTAGCAATCGTATTGTCTGGTAATATTTTGCGAAATATTTTACGCTCAAATATTTTCAAAAGCCTTTCATCCTTCTGCATTAGATTCCATCTTTTTGTCCCATATGTGAGGACCGGTCTCATCAATGTTTTCTATATAATAATTTTAATTCTTTGGATGTTTCTTGAGTGGAATTTTATCATGTTTTGTTGGTAGTAGTTACTATCGAGTCAAGATATGTGAAGCTGTCCACACGTCCATATACTGATCGTTGATATTTCCAATTTCCTGTATTACTTCTTCTAAATACATATCAGGATCCAACTCTGTTTTCTTGTTTGAATCCGGCTCTTCTGCTTACCAAAATATCTTATTTGATTTTCAATTTGACATCTCGATGTGAAATGCGATTCTTCCCATGAAATAATAATTTTAATTTTTTGTATGTTTCTTGAGTGGAATTTTATCATGTTTTGTTGGTAGTGTTACTATCGAGTCAAGATATGTGAAGCTGTCCACACGTCCATATACTGATCGTTGATATTTCCATTTCCTGTATTATTTCTTCTAAATACATATTAGGATCCAACCCTGTTTTCTTGTTTGAATCCAGCTCTTCTGGTTACCAAGATATCTTATTTGATATTCAATTTGACATCTCGATGTGAAATGCGATTCTTCCCATGAAATATGACTTTTAACTTAAAGTGTATCATTTTGCGCGAAATGTGATATTTCACGGGAAATGTGTGATTTACACGTCCATATACTGATCGTTGATATTTCCAATTTCCTGTATTATTTCTTCTAAATACATATTAGGATCCAACCCTGTTTTCTTGTTTGAATCCAGCTCTTCTGGTTACCAAAATATCTTATTTGATATTCAATTTGACATCTCGATGTGAAATGCGATTCTTCCCATGAAATATGACTTTTAACTTGAAGTGTATCATTTTGCGCGAAATGTGATATTTCACGGGAAATGTGCGATTTTGTTAACCCAAAATCAGAAAACATTGAGAATGAAAGGGAAAATATGTGAGGAGACTTTTGATCGTCAATAATTGTAATGTTTGAAATGCCGTCTATCTAATTAGCCTTCTTCGGTCCATCTGTGGACATAGGCCTCCCCAATCCTTTTCCATTCTTCTCTGTCTGTCGCAACAGTCATCCATCTAGAGCCCACGTGCTTCTTGATATCATCTGCCCATCTCATTTGGGGCCTTCCTCTGCTTCGTTTATATTCCCACGGTCTCCAACTTATAAGAATTTTGTTCCATCGGTAACGTAATGAAATGATTCCATGAAATGCCGTAAAATATCATTTTTTATTTTTATGCGTATTTGTGTCCATTCATTACTTTCATTACATTCATTACTTTAAGCATTATCGATTAGTGTTAAGAATAAATATAAAAATTAGTTACTTTATAACTTGAAATTTCACTACCGACCTTTGGATATAAAACCTTTATGTAAGCTTGTGTAAGTTTGGTATTATTTTCCATGAAAAGTTGCAGTATTCTGTATACTTTATGCTGATATAATAGCGGAAATAACCATAAGCGATTAAATAAAAAAGTGAATTGTTTTTATAAAAAATGATTTGTGATTACGTTCGAGTTTCGAAATAGTTTTTGTTATTACTTTTATATATAATTTTAATTGTGGGTTAAATATTTCAATTCATTTAAACAAAATTATGTTTGAATTAAAAACATGTATAGTCGAAGTTTTACCATTTTTTATCCAAACTTGATTTACTTTTTTGTTAATTAATGGGATAACATTTCAAGACAAGATGTTTACAGGGTCAGAATAAAAGTATTTAGAAGGTGTCAATGCTGCTCGAGTTGTGTTCAATGAGGACTGGTTGTTTCGAGAGCCTTGTCTATTTTTCTATGTTTGTTACGACTGTTATAATTATATATTGACTGAAGAGGGCGCTATGAGCGCCACTGTGATCATATTTATGGTATTTATGTACGTTAGAGACATCTGTTGATAAGAATCGATGACTTGCTTGTCGACATGATGGGCGGCGGTAATGGTATGATGGTTTAAGAATGATGGTTCTCTATATAATATATACACACAACATAATTTTTCGGAATCGCTCGAAAATTATTAGTCATTTTGTAATAATATACCATGAAATTGAAATCCAGCTTTATTTACATTTTCAGCTTTAATCATATCCATTAAAAGTTAGAAGTTAAAGTGAATATATAATATATGAACCTAAAACATGCAACTAACTTTTAAAATACCTTAATTTAAAAAATCGATATATGAGTATATGGTGGTTACTTATTGTTTTTGACACTTTCATAACTATAAACTTTCATTTTTGTAATGATACATATTTTTCTATCTTATAGGCTGTGTGTCGGGAATTATTTCTTACTGAACTTTGGTCTGCGACTGCAGAAAATATTATCAAAAGTTATGTGGCAACGTCGGAACACGTTGTCGGATCTTCCGCTCACATTGCCAATTCGAAATTAAAAATGTCTGCCTCAGGGGCAGAAGAAATGTCAGAAATTCCAAATCACTAATTATAACCTCAGAAATCAATGTATCATAAAATACCTGACATGAGAGCGTATAATAATCATTTTGACGCGCTAAATTTATAATTTGACTAAAATGAGCATAAAATCAAGGGCTTTTATTAGTTCTCACTTTGCTATTGGACGTCCCAAATTCATCGATATGGTATTTGCAAAACAATATATGTTCGCACTGTAATTTGTGGACGACACTCAAGCCAAGATACATCAAACGCCAGTTATGATAAGGTTTCGCCGCGCAGGTTTAATTATCACATTTAAACTGCATTCGAAGTTAATCGTGGTGATGAAACAGTGGCAAGTGTAGTGTACTGAATAGGAATCACTTTAAGCTTTGCAGGTCATTTGTACAAAGATCGTTTTCCTAAAAAAGAAATTAGCACTCAGTAAACTCATCAATTTTTTATGGAAGTTACTGTACGGAACATACTATGGAAGTTATTAGGGTATGCTTGCATTCTTTTCAAATATTTAATTTTAATCGCCATTTGTTCATTGTACTCTATATTACGTATATATTCGTATACACTTTACACATTGCAGTTTTTACTGCAATCTACCTTTTGGATATCGGTGCTAGGAATACCCAGAAAGCATAACTGACAAAAACTCTCACAGAATATTAAAATAAAAACAGAACATAAGAAATTAAAATTATTAAGCTAATGACGAAGGCAGCCTTGAAGCTCTTGTCTTCGGAGTTTGTTGGTGATTTCTTGTAGGCTGTGCTTATAATTATATAAGCTTAGTGTATGCATGCTGGTGAATGTCATTTTAGATTATGAAGCAAATATTTTGACAAGAAATGAACTTGATCGTTACTTTACTTTTATTGTTTTGTACAATGTTTTTGTAGTGTCGGTAGAAAGGACACAGATATCTCACAGAACGTATTACAGTTTTTGGCACTGTTTTTTTTTCTGCTACTCACGAGATTTCATCCTTTCCATGGAATAAACGTAGAATTCTTTCCATTAACCACTTGCCTGGTGAGATGTATTCTTTTGTGAATCATATCCAAAATTGTTGATATAATTGTTGAATTGAGTCTAGTCTAAACAGCTTGGTTGGTGGAACTTCTGATACGTCCGCGTCAGGAAGCATTGTAATTGGACAGTCAATTAGAAAATGTCATGGAGTAATCTATTTTAGGTCATTCGGATCATTGGATAAGAATACAGAGGTCTAGAATTTAAGATTTCCTCAATTTGAATAAGAAGCTTATTTCATAAATTAAATTTCTGTTCAACATTGTTCGTTTTAAAAAATGTTTTGTTCTTTTTACTGCTACGTACCAT